TGCGTTTATGCCAAAAACGGACTTTTTACTCATAGTGCGCTGGCGACGGGAAATGTATGTATGTACATATTGCAAGAGTTTTACCACCCAGAAACAATAGCAAACGGGACATATACCTACCGGTTATTTAAGGGGTTATATACCTTTTTTAAGCGAAAAATTGGGGGAACTTTGGATTTTTTTTCAGGTGTGTAGCAATTATTTTATGACACTAAAGTTATTATTTATTGATAGTACATGTTTTTATCAAAACAACAAGCGTTTGTTCTTAAAAAAATATGAATAATTTACGAAGTTATGGGAATTCTTTCGGAACCCTTTTTTTTATAGCGGCTTGCTTTGACCACGATGGAGGTCCAGCAGGTCAAATGATATCAAAAAACCAAACAATTTTTATTAGTATAGTATTTTTTTCAGTTCGTGAAAGATTATTTTCAAGAATATTTGGTTTTTTCTGCATACAGTAACAATTTTTCCAAAAAGTTGATTTTTTGAGTTCTAAAAATTTTATTAAAAAATTCTGATCTGCGAAATCAAAATTGGCGCAAAAAAACTTAATCGTTCACGAACTCGGCACAATCATTACGAATAATTTTAAAAAAAAATGAAGAAGATCGATCAAATATGTAGTTCTTGTGCAATCGTGGTCACAGCGAAGGAAAAACACGACTTTGAGATAATCGCATTCAAAGTTGTACGTTGAGTATATGCAACTGTTGAAGTCGAGCGCGTCAAAGCGCTGTTTTCCTATCTAACTATTATTCGGATCTCTATGAAAATTTGGGAAGATGTTCTCTAGGGGATATACTTTAGGATTCAGCAAAAAAAAAATTTCGTTTTTTTTTTTTTTGAAAAGGTATATAACCCCTTAAATCAATATAAACTGCACAAATGGCTTATTCCACGTGAAACGTGACAGGCCATTTGGGTCAAATCTCAGAATCAATCGAAACTTTTTTTTCGATAGAGGATTGAAATATATTGGAATATTGTTCCTCGGTTTGGAGCCCACAATACCAAGTCCACATTGACCGTATAGAGTCGGTACAAAAAAAATTTCTCCTTTTTGCCCTTCGTAGTTTGAACTGGGATCAAAACGTAAGGCTACCTTCCTACCAGAGTAGATTATTATTGCTTAATTTACCGACACTTGCAAATCGTAGAAAAATGCTTGGTACCATTTTTATGCATAATCTTATAAGAGGTGATATTGATTCTGTAGAACTTGTTAGCCGCCTAACTTTTAATGTTCCCGTTAGACTAACACGTAATTATCATCCTCTTAATTTACCTCGATGTACATCAAATTTTGGTCTGCACGAGCCCTTTCGCGTTCTATGTAATAACTATAACGTTCTTTATCATTTAATTTGCACATCAACTTATATCCCGGTATTAAAAACTAACATTTTAACTCATTTGCTTCACTCCTAACAGCATGTTTTTTTCATTATTTGTCCCGTCTTTATTGGTTTTATGTATTCTTCCTCGCGAACTCGCATTTTTGCCCAAATTTACAAAAGGGCCCCGCGCGTAACAAGCACGTGCTTGGTGTCGTTGGGCCACTTGTTTGTACTTCTCGTAGTGCATCAACGTCCATCATATGTAAGGATCGGTTTTTTTTAACTCTTACTGTTAATTTTTAAAAAATATTTCTGTAAAGACTCGTTTGAGGTTTTTTAATATTTGGTACGCAACTTTGTGGGATATCTTCATATCTTTCAGAAAAATATTTTTAAAATTTTTTTAATTTAAAATTAAGTATTTTAAGCAGGCCATCCACAGTCGAATTTGTTCGGCGAACATGTTCGTGTGTTCATCGTTGGTGGTAGTGTTCGCGTTTAGATTTCATATAAATTTGTTTGACGTTTTGTTCGACAAAAATAGAAACGATTCTATCTTGCCTGTGTTCGCGAAAATGTTCGTCGAGCAAATTCGGCGAACATGTTCGTGTCTTCATCGTTGGTTGTAGTGTCCGCGTTTAGATTTCATATAAATTTGTTTTACGTTTTGTTCGACAAAGATAGAAACGATTCTATCTTGCCTGTGTTCGCGAAAATGTTTGTCGAGCAAATTCGACTGTGGATGGCCTGCTTAAGGAATTGTCACCGACATGGGATGCCAGAACTAAAGGGTACTTTCCGAAGTATGGTTTGATGGCTGTTGCTCCAACAATACATTTGGTTATTGTTGGTTGGTCAGTCGGTCTTGGAACTGAAGCGTAAGACCCGTTGCTCTAGTCTAGCGCCTGAGCGAAAGAGAATCCCGGAGTCGTTGTTGGGTTTCGTGCTGGGTTTGGGTTTCGTGCAACTATTTTTTGGGTTAGGAGGTTTTTCTTCTCCTTATAAATATACTGTCTGTCTGTCTGTCTGTCTGTCTGTCTGTCTGTCTGTCTGTCTGAACTGTCTGTCTGAACTGTCTGTCTGAACTGTCTGTCTGAACTGTCTGTCTGAACTGTCTGTCTGAACTGTCTGTCTGAACTGTCTGTCTGAACTGTCTGTCTGAACTGTCTGTCTGAACTGTCTGTCTGAACTGTCTGTCTGAACTGTCTGTCTGAACTGTCTGTCTGAACTGTCTGTCTGAACTGTCTGTCTGAACTGTCTGTCTGAACTGTCTGTCTGAACTGTCTGTCTGAACTGTCTGTCTGAACTGTCTGTCTGAACTGTCTGAACTGTCTGTCTGTCTGAACTGTCTGTATGAACGCTTGGAAACTATAAAAGCTAGAAGATTGGCATTTGCATGCATATTCTAGGAGCTCCTACGCAGCGCAAGTTTGTCTCAAAAAGGTGCCACGCCCCCTCTAACGTCCACAAGCCCCCTCGAACGTGCACAGTTTTGTGGCCAGCGCCTACATTTCCGCCTTTCATGACCAGTAGTACCAATATCTGGCGGTAGATGGCGCAATACAATATACACTAGCGCCATCTAGAAAATGGCATTGGAAAAAATCTGCCTTTTTTCTGCGGTAACTCTAATTCACATAATGTTAATGCAAATTTTAAATTATTTGTAATGGGGCGCGCTTTTTGTCTCTTTTTGCTCGTATACGTTTTTCACAAGTGCATTCACCTGCGCTAGAGAGAGACGGAAGATGTGCTAGGAAGTTGTTTAGCTGAGTAACGGGTATCTAATAGTCGAGGCACTCGACTATAGCGTTCTCTCTTTTTTTTTTATTGTTTAAATCGGTAGTATAACTCTTTTATAACTCTTATAACAGGAGACGGCACCCATCTTCCTTGTGCAGAAGATATATTTCATTACTTTAAATGCGTTTTTCTCGAAACCTGTCAAAAAGTAACGCTTCGATCATCATGGTGTTTTTACTGAAATGTTTGTAATGAAATTGCCCACTGTCTGAACCTACTTTATGTAGAAATTTGTAGGTTGAAATATTTTTTGTAAAGCAAAAACAACAAGAAATATATTAAAGAAATAGATTTTTGACTTTGAAAGTGTGCTACAACCAGAGTTTTTGAGATATTCTATGTAAGTTAGGTTCAGACAGTTTCTACATTATTTCTTAACAAAATAAATTTGGTTTCATAAAAATCGGATCTACTTACACAAACTTATTAATGATGATGTCGACTCCCCTTTCCTTCTTAGTTCACTTAACTGGAATGTACCCTGTAGAACAGTTCGCCGTTTTCGTCCGTTGTCCCTGCCAATATGTAGATCTAATTATGCCCTGCATGATCCTTTTCGTGTTCTGTGTGACGACTATAACTCACTGTGCCACGTCTTACTGTTTGATACCCCTAAAGCTACTAATTATACTAAACTTATGTATTTTCTGTCTTCAAATAATTTGTAAATTCTTTGTGAACATGTATTTTAACCTGTCTTCTGTTAAATCGTAGTTTTTCCATGTCCGGCATTCCGCTTACTTGCCCAAAACGGTTTAGGGCTCCGCGCGTAACAAGCTTTGCTTGGTGTCGTAAGGTCCACTTGTTTGTACTGATCATAGTGCATCAACGTCCAAGAATTACACCGCGACCTGTGGACAATCCGCAGCTGGCCTACTTTTTTTAAAAAAGGCCTGACAAAAAATTTCCCACGGCCGCCATTTTAAAAGATTAAAAAAAAATTGAAATTTGTATAAATTATATAACAACTATGTAATCAACATGCCAAGTTGCGAACTTCCAGCAAAAATCCTTATTGATTAAAAAAAATCCCGAAAAACTTGAAAAAATTTCAGTTCTATATGTATCTCCCCCCTTAAATAGTGTAAGTTACAAGTTTATTGGTCTAATGATTTTTGAGATCTGTTAGGTTTTATAAAAGAAGTGCCGAAAATCAGAAATTCAGAACGGTTCTTTGGGACTTTTTTTTTAATTTGTTCAGCGTGATTAGCAACTTAAAACTAACCAAAAAAAATTGGTCTCAAGGCTTACCTTTTTATACCCTTGTAGAGGGTATTATAATGTCAGTCAGATGTTTGCAACGCAGTGAAGGAGACGTTTCCGACCACATAAAGTATATATATTCTTGATCAGCACCAATAGCCGAGTCTATCTAGCCATGTCCGTCTGTCCGTCTGTCTGTCCGTCTGTCTGTCCGTCTATCCGTTTCTATGCGAACTAGTCTCTCAGATTTAAAGCTATCGCGATGAAACTGTCCCGAAAGTCTTCTTTCTATTGCAGGTAGTACATATGTCGGAGCGAGCCGGATCGGACCACTATATCTTAAGGCTCCCATAGGAATATTCAAACTAATATAAGAAAATTCATTGTAACTTTGTAGGAAGTAGGCGTTTTGATTCTTGACTACTTAAAAACAAAATTTAAATAAATAGAAACGCTGAATCTGGAATCCCTGGAACTGCACCGAGTGAGCATTCTTTTATCTGCAAGGGTATATAAGCTTCGGCTGGCCGAAGGTAGCTTCCTTTCTTGTTTGATGTAAACTATTGTTATTATGAATAAAATTAACATACAGTACATACTTTTTTATTATTAAAACATTTATATGTATTTTCAATTTGTTTCTGTTTTTAGGAAAGATTGGACATATCGTGAGGGAAGCAACAGTAGCGGCATCATCATCTGCCCAGGCGGCATCGTCATCCTTAGCCTGCAAACGTCCCCTGCCCGAGTTCCTAATGATCCCGCAGTATTACGAGAGTGGAGAGCTGACACTAACCCGCAAATGAATAAATGCACTCACAAGCCCACCCACTCATCTTTCTAGCACGAACTCCCCAAATTCTCATCCACACACTAGAAATAATTCGATAAGTGTTATTGTAAAATTGTGTTATATAAGCGATCTTCCTGGTTAAATATCGTTTTCTAAATGACCAAGACCGACCGTGTAAGTGGGGTCAGCTCCAAACGGCACTACATACAAAAAATTAAAGGAAATAAAGAAACTCCAAGTTAAGTGTATGTTTTAAAGTGAAAAATAACCATTAAGAACGTTATAAATAAGAAGGAATATACATTAATATGGGAAGAATTCGAGTTTCCGTGAGGCGATGTCCGTCACGATTTATTATCCAAATTCGACTAACCCAAAGTACATGAATTCTTAAAATGTAAGCTAGCCCTATGCTTTGAAACTGCTGACCCGGCGCCCCGTGCATGGAGTTGGGCAGCCGCTGCTTGCGTTGCAGTACATTCCCCGCCGATTGTGGGCTGCTTCCGTCGCTAAAAATGCTGACCATAGCACCGTCGCTGTGCAATATCCGCAGGTGATGCTGGCCTTGCATTATTCCCATCCGGTTATGCGGGATCAGCCTGGCAACCTTTCTGTTGCTGGGTGACCGTGCTAACTCCTCCCTTGCTTAGATGAAGGACGTCCTCGGACTTTTTGAAACCGTCGATAATAAATTGAAGATCATGCTGGCGACGGACCCGCACAGTTGCACATTGCACAGCCTCTGGTTCTATAAGTGGTTTCTGATCATCTAAACTATAATATAAGTCTACCCCTAAAAAACGGTCAGTAGCAAATTCCACCGAGAACGGATTCACATAAAAATCTAAAAAATCACAGTAATTACTAAAATAATAAGCAGCCGCGTAAGGGGTACTTTGTAGAACAATAAAAACCCCAAAGTGCCCCAAAATTCGATTTGTTTTTTTTTTAAATAATTTCTTTTGCCATTTTTCTGTTATAAATGTTGTTAAAATGGTTAAAAAATGTGATGTTCATAATCTTATGGCATACCCGCAAATAACTGCATTTAAATTTTTTGGAGATTTAGCATCCTTAACCAAGTCCCCAATATTTTCAAATTTGGCTAACCTGATGTGACGTCACGGCTTCCCCATATGTTTGCATGTATGTTGCTGGCGTATGTATGTGTGTATATATGTCCTGCTGTCGCACTTTAAGTGTGACCGCGCAAGGGGAAAATGTAAATACCACAGTCAACACATTTAAAATGCAAATGCCACACTCATAACACGTTTTAAGCTGAGGAAGCTAGATTCGCTTAAACTCAAATGAATATAATACTGGTATCCTTTTGCATACAAAAAATTGCATTAACATTTCTACAACAGATCGAATACATTTTCTTCTAGATTTTTGTGTTGCAAAATAGCATTGAAAGTATTAAAAAAAAAACTAAGTATGGGCACTTCTACCAAAAGATCCACCAAGCCAAAAACCTTAAAACTTGAATAAAACATATTCCCACATGAGTTTCCCCCGATATTAGTTTCTAAATAGTTTGATCCTGAGCCTAACTAAAAATTTGGAGTATAGTTTGATTATTTTTATGACAAACTCCACTAACACCAGTTTACAAAAAAAAATCGATAAAATATACCATGAATGAAATCTTTGTTTTCCGGTAAGGTACGTCTTCCTGATTAAGAAAATGGCACTTAAAATTTTTTTATGGACAAATTTTTTTTTAAGTGTAAAAAACGTTTTTCACACTTTTTTAATTTCTAACTTGAGTTGTGGTTAACCGATTTCAACCATAAATGGCTTAAAACGCTCAAAAACCGAAATTAGTTTTATAACTTCAACTGGTAGAAGGTGCTTTGACAAAAAAAACAAGCTATTGATCATTACAATTCACCAGCAAATTAATTTGATATGCATTTTTAAAGCTTGCGACAACGGTGTTTTTTTGGCCGTTTTCAGCTGTTAACTGACACAACAGGGCTCTAACAGAGCTGTAATACCCGTTATTCCCAACGTAAAAAATCGATATAAAATCGAACTATTGATTGATTTTTTTGTTGATGGTCTTTTATGTATAAGTCATAAAACTAATTTCGGTTTTTAGGCGTGTATTTTTAACAATGCCATTTATGCCAGCATTTTTGAATTTTTTCTCACTTTTCCAACTTTGACGAAGTGTAGCTTCTAAACTAATGTTTAACCTGTAAAATGAGTCATTTATGGTTGAAATCGGTTAGCCACAACTCAAGTTAGAAATTAAACAAGAAAGGAAGCTACCTTCGGCCAGCGGAAGCTTATATACCCTTGTAGATAAAGTTATGCTCAATCGGTGCAGTTCCAGGGATTCCAGATTCAGCGTTTCTATTTAAATTTTGTTTATACATAAGTAGTCAAGAATCAAAACGCCTACTTCCTACAAAGTTACAATGAATTTTCTTATATTTGTTTGAATATTCCTATGGGAGCCTTAAGATATAGTGGTCCGATCCGGCTCGCTCCGACATATGTACTACCTGCAATTGAAAGAAGACTTTTGGGAAAGTTTTATCGCGATGGCTTTAAAACTGAGAGACTAGTTCGAATAGAAACGGACAGACGGACAGACGGACATGGCTAGATAGACTCGGCTATTGGTGCTGATCAAGAATATATATACTTTATGTGGTCGGAAACGTCTCCTTCACCGCGTTGCAAACATCTGACTGAAATTATAATACCCTTTACAAGGGTATAAAATTTATCCATAAAAAAATTTTAATTGCCATTTTCTTAATCAGGAAGACGTACCTTACCGGAAAACAAAGGTTTCATTCATGGTATATTTCATCAATTTTTTTTTGTAAACTGGTGTATTATATCCAAAAATTAGTTTTTGGCTATTTTTTTGTTATTTTTTGGACCTGTCTTCAGTTGTTAATTTATCCTTTAGGAATGGTAATGTGTGACATTATTCTGTACTGAATGCTTCATTTACATGTTAAGCTATTAAGTTAAATCCAAAACAGCCAGTAATTAAGGGATAGAGGTAAGGAAATACACTTTACAAAACGCTAAGAAAAAATGTCCCGAGCGACATGTCCCGAGCGAATGTGGTTGAAACTGCATAAAATAAAAACGGCAAACAATTTTTGAGTAAGACCAAAACCATTTCATAGCGACATGTTTGAACATGTAATACCCGTTTTTCCCAACGTAAAAAATCGATATAAAATCGAACTGTTGATTGATTTTTTTGTTGATGGTCTTGTTGGTTGACTTAAAGATGTATCTTTAAGTATAAGTCATAAAACTAATTTCGGTTTTTAGGCGTGTATTTTTAACGAAGCCATTTATGCCAGCATTTTTGCATATTTTCTCACTTTTACAGCTTTGACGAAGTGTAGCTTCTAAACTAATGAATGGAACTCAATGCGGTGTATAAGAAAGTTGGAGGGCATTCTATTCAGGGCTGTGAACCCATATTATTTTTGCATGGGTTCGGTTCGGGGTTCAAACCTAATCGACAGATAATGTTCCGGTTTGCGAACCGGTTCAATAATGAGCCGGAGCAGGGTTCAGGTTCGAACCAGGGTTCAAAAAAAAAAATTTTTTTAACGAAATAATAAAGGCAACATTTATTTCCATGTATTTTCATTTAAATATGTACCATAACATTAAGACTTATAGGTAAAGTTATAAGATTTATGATTTATAAAGTGTTTACCAGTTAAGGCAAAGAGTATACTCTTTGATTTAGGGCCGGTTTCTCGAGTGCCGGCTAACATTTCTCGAACAGATAAAGTCCCTGCTAAGGCATTTTGGCTTTCTCGAGCATCAATGTGAGAGCTAACTTTGACAGGGACTCGGAGTCCCTGTTAAGCATTTTCGACTTGATAGAATGACAGCTGATTTCCCATAGCCAACTAAGAAGAAGAAACGAAATCACAGCTGACTTTTCCTTTGAATTATACCCAAATAGCTGATGAAATAATCGAAGCACGCTATTTTTGTGCTCTACAGCACAATTCTGTGCGTTAACAGCACTTTGTAATTGTTTCTCGTTTATATAAATTAAAGCAGTCGAGAAAGCAGATTTGCATTTACGAACAGTTTATCTGGTCTTTAAGTTTTTCGAACAAATAGCTATCAGGGACTTTGACAGGGACTCGAGAAACCGGCCCTTAATCATGTAATTTTAATGTGGGCATACTGCGAAAAGTTTTGGAAGATGATAGCACTAGTTTACAGCCAAACTGCTCCAAGGCAATTGATGGCAAATTCTGTTAGTGTTCGACCCCCAAATCACGAAAATACCACTAATTTTTTTTTCGATGGCACAGTTTTTTTTTAAAAGATTTTTTAAAGTTCAAAATGTTAAATATCGGATTTTTTTTAATTTCTTTCTATATCTCGGCAAATATCCACCCAATTGGGCCAGTTTTTGTTTCATTATAAAGTCAATAGATCAGAGCTTAACTTTGCCATACAGCTCAATATGATTGGATAAGTAATGGCAGCGCAGCAGCTCGACAAAGATGAAAAATGTGTTTTTTGGTCCTCTGTAGGTCGGCTGTATGTATCGTAAAAACTCGAAATAAATCCGTTGAAAAATTATAATGGGTACAAACTTAAAGTTTACATCCCACTGGACAAAACAAGCAAGGTATGGCCCAAAATCATAAAAAATTGGATTTATGGTGGATTTTTAAAGTTCGGATTTTTCAACTTTTTTCGGTTGACAAAGTTCAAATTTTAGTTTTATCCTAGCCGGGTCAAAAAATAGATAAATCAGATATTTAAAAGCTAGAAAATTATTAAAATGAATTTAATTTTGAAAAATTCCTGGACCATTTAAGCAATTGTATTCCTTAATTTTATTCATTATCACACACAATCACAAGCAAAATCCTCTTTTTTTATTCGTATTCTTTTTTTCGTTTTTTGATACTGCAGTACTTATTAAAAAAAGCATGCTTTTTTTTGAAAGTATGGTTATTTCATAAGAATGATTTATTCAAATGGATATTACTTATTAAAAATACTCACAGTCATAACGAAAGCAATTTTATATTTTTTAAGGAATTTTTAAAAATTAAATTCATTTTTATAATTTTCTAGCTTTTAAATATCTGATTTAGCTATTTTTTGACCCGGCGGCCATCACCACTTATTTTTATTTACATGTCGCCGCCTAGGATAAATCTAAAATTTGAACTTTGTCAACCGAAAAAAGTTGAAAAATCCGAACTTTAAAAATCCAC